TGCAGCGCCCCTAGCGGCTACTTTCAAGAAACAAAATCTTCATAGAGATTTTTGACGTAATCGCTAGCGAGCACACCTAACGTAAACTCATGGTAGGTACACTGATGACTTTGTGTTGTTTTTTGTTTTTGGGGCATTTTCCTCTGAATTTTGTCTTGTTTTGAGGACTATGTATGGTCACCTAAATAAAGCATGTTTCAAAATTATTAAAGAGCTGTGCATTGCGGTGTATTTGTACTTAAGTATAATCATGAACCAGTCAGACAGGCAATTTAATACCCAATATTTTGTTTAAGATAGATATGTTATCTTTTTATTGAATCCAAATTCAAGACAGTATCTAATCCAAAAAAGCAATTTATTGGTTCTGTGCCCCGGCATACCTACTCCCGGATATAATGTCGGTTAACATTCCATTACATAAAATGCTAATTTAATTTCCTCAAATTAAAGTTGAATTTCCTTATATAAATGTACCGTTTACAAGTCCATTTTCTATTTGAGTTATTTAAAAAGTTTTGTGAGAGTTAGCTCTACAGCTTACCATGTTCCATTGGATTGAGATGAATTTGAAATGAAAAATGATGTCTCATACGTAGAACCGTCTTTTTGAATCTTCTTGGTCATCGAAAAGTGAGCGAGCACTTTCTCTACGTTTGACGAAACTTGATCACATCTTTTTTATTTTGTACCATTCACATGTAACAATGGTTTTGAAATAGGTTTCTTTTTTTAATGTGATAGGAGGCAAACGAGCAGACGGATCACCTGATGGTAAGTGATTATCGGCGCCCATAGACACCCGCAGACCCAGGGGCGTTACAGGTGCGTTGCCGGCCTTTAAGGTAAAGATACGCTCTCCTCTTGAAAGCTTGCAGGTCGTATCCGTCCGGAAACACCGCAGACGACAGTCCATTCCACAGTTTGGTTGTACGGGGCAGGAAGTTGGTACTTAAATTATTGAGTATTATGGTCAAAATTCAGTTTGGTTTATCATTAGGTAAAATTCTGACTGTTCGTTCGTTCGTTTCAGCCAAATGACGTCCAATGCTGGACAAACGCCTCCTCCAAGGTTTTCCACAATGCACGGTCCTGCGCTGCCCGCATCCAGGCTCTTCCCGCCACCTTTACTAGATCGTCGGTCCACGAGGAAGCCTGCCTACGCTACGTCTTCCAGCCCGTGGTCGCCACTCGAGAACCTTTCACAATGCTCGATGGCCTCAGTAGAGCCTCTCAACAAGTGGGTCTCAGAATGAACATGGACAAGACAAAAATCATGTCTAATGTCCGTGTCGCACCCACTCCTTTGAAGGTTGGAGACTCTACACTCGAAGTTGTTGACAATTATGTATACCTGGGACAAACAGTCCAGTTAGGTAGGGCAGCGTTCGGGAAGCTCCGCAATATACTCACGTCCGAAATACCGCAGTGTCTCAAGACAAAAGTCTTCGAACAGTGTGTGTTGCCAGTGATGGTATATTATGGATCTGAAACGTGGTCGCTTACTATGGGCCTCATAAGAAGGCTCAAGGTCACCCAAAGGGCGATGGAGCGGGCCATGCTTGGAGTTTCCCTGCGTGATCGAATCAGAAATGAGGAGATCCGCAGGAGAACTAAAGTGACCGACATAGCTCGCGCTCGCAGAATTGCTAAAATCAAGTGGCCGTGGGCGGGGCACATAGCTCGTAGAGACGATGGCCGTTGGGGCAGAAAGGTTCTTCTGACTGTATTCCTAAGAATTTGATGACTAGGTACGCCTTCAAGTACTCGTAGTATTCATAATAATTACGTTGGTATTTCCAGTGTGTTGACACTGAATGATACACAAAATTACGCGTCCAGGAAGTACAACGTAAGGCTTTGATAACATTTACTTGATTGTAACTTAGGAACGCTGTATTTAATGCAATATTTGTCGTTTTCACGACATAATACAAACTTTACTTGGTTTGGGATTAGGTGTTGCTGTTGAGATGTCCGAGGATAAAATATTAGATTAAAATTCCCGTAAATTTTGACATTCATTGAAATTTCGGTCTGCTTCTAAAATCTAAATTACACATGGATACCTATCTACATTTTCCACAATCTAGTTGTTTGATTGGTAACTATAGCATCTTACTTTTTAAAAATAGTCATCGATGCAGTAGGAAGATTATCAACCAAGCAATAAATATTGTATCTATATCTTAGAAGATTTCGTATTTTATTATTATGGAAACGTATAGTTTAAAATTAAAATCCATCGGGAAATTCGTATTTTTGCTGTAGATCGGGATCCAACTTGAACTAAATATTATGCAAAATGAACACCGAACCAATAATCCTGATTCTGTGAACACAAATTGTCAATTGAAATCTACAGAGATAAATACATACATACTAATCTAGTGCTAATATTGAGGTGTAAAACGTGACACTGAAAATACAGAGCTCATAATACTATACATAAAATTGTGTTTTTGGATGTGAATTGAATCGCATGTTGCGGTATAAGCACGTGAAAATTTAATAAGCGAACAATTAATTTAAGAGATTACCTAAAAGCTGAAATATTTTAAGCTAATACTGACTTTTATTGCCTAGTATCTAAAGATATTTCAATAAAACTGGCTGCTGAAAAAAATATTGAAGACTGAAGAAAAGCTAGTTTAATTTGGTCGTCTTTTTCAGGGTATCTAAGTAATCTTTCTCAGTTTGCAGAAAAAAAATAGAATTTTTCTGATTTCGAGCTGACTCTACATTGTTATATTTTGTCAAGGCAATTACTAAAGACTTACAAAATAAGTACTAGGCCTTGAAAAGTGGTGATGGGGCGTTGACGGAGGCGGTGGTCCACCAGGGGGCAAAAATGGTGGTGGATGGACCATCCCATTGCCCCACATCCCATCAGGACCAAATTGGGCGACACATCCAAGAATGTAGCTGAAAATGATCACCGAAGAAAACACTGCATCCATTTTTACACGTTTGATAGTGTTGCTGGTGTTCACTTTCACTTGGTTTCAGATATCGATACACCTGACACAAACACTTATAGTAGTAAACTCGTGATAAGCACAACAACAACCAATTTACACATCACTATGAATATCATCAATAATCCAAAGGCATTGTTAGCACTTGCCTCCCGAATCACACTGAATCACTGGCTATTTTTAAACTAGTTCCTACATAAAAGCATTTATTTAAAATAAAACGGACGGTGATTGAAAGTTGAAGTATTTTGCGCTCCACAAATAGAGGAATCGTTCGGCGATTATTAGATATTGTTATCACTTATCACTTTTGTACCGATCACTGATAATAATGCCACTCGAGCGATGACGCTCGTCCAATACTAGTCATGATAAGGCCCCGTAGGTTCAGCCAATTAGCAGTCGCACGACTGACGATAAATACAATATTTTGTCTGAGGATATGGATATAGATTAAATAGAATCGCACTAGGTTTCATGGCCATGCGTCCTTCTCTATTCCAAATAACTTTTCTTAAGGCTGCGCGCAGACGAGCTGCCCGAAACTAAGGATGAGTTGCACCACCTTAGCCGTAACAATAACCGGTGCTTTTTGTATGAAGTTTGACAGATTTTTGACGTTAGTCAGAGTTAAATTAAGATGGTGCATCTCAGCCTTAGTCTATTACTTAAAAATATAAAGAGTGGTCGTGAAGCTCAGGTGGAGTTGCTGGCTGTATTTCAGTCTGTAGACAAGCTTTATTCATAAAGTTGTAGAAACTGAATGAAACTATAAACTTTCATTTGAGTGAGAGTCTTGCTCATCACGCCTTCAAATGACAGAAAAGGATAGGGATTAATAGACTTGATATACCTTGAAGTTATGCTTTACCTTGAGTTACTTTATAACTCAGCGATAAGGCAAAAACAAAACGGTCAGTCGGACGTGTGCGGAAAGCCCTACAGATAACTCTTACCTTATATTATTAGCAGCTTGTTTTTATATCATGCTACTTAATAACTAATAGGTTGATACGGTATATTTATTACCATAAAAATTACTGAAAATACTAAAAAGATTTTATGAATTATGAAGGCAGACTTTATTGAAATTATGGGGTTTTACCTTGTGCCTTTTCCAATATAATTTCCCCTATTATTCTACCATTCACAACAAACATAAAAACGATATCTCACTACATCGTTATCAATACCTTAGTGATAATGTAATTCGATAGTAAAATCAATAACAACACCTACCAAGTTACTACAATCAAAACAAGAGAGAGCTAAGTCTTCAATATTCATTTAAAGAATATTTAGGTGCCAGTTAAGAGGCTATTCTAGAAAATACTCTATCACTAATTTCTTGGTCTGGTTACGGTGTCAGAGAGACCGATGTCGCTGTCAACTTTACTCAAGTATTGTTAGGTTTCGGGTCTACTTTGTGAGGGTGAGCGATGAGCCACGGTCTTGATTACTTGTAATAAAAGTATTATGTGTTATTTTCACTGAATGTAGGAAATGTACAGTCAGTATATCAAACTATACCATATTTTTGTCGGTCCTTTACAACTACTTATGATGCCAAAGTGTTTAACTTGATTTGCCGTCGTCTGTACTTAGTAGAGCAAGCTAAATGTGTGTTACCTATCCTACGTCTTGGTGCTGAAATAAGGCTGTTAGTTTTAGGAGCTTTATGTGCTCTCTTTTGGTACGCTTTAACTGATAAGTGAGTGTGCACAATGCATGCGCGTTACAACATGCTCGCTTTCTAGGTTTGGTTCTCAATGTTGCATTTTGACTCTTTCTGTACTTACCCAACTGCGCCAGAAGAAGAGTTATGTTTTTAAGTGTTATATTGATCAAATCTGTTTTAACCAGGTAATATAAACGGTTAAAGGTAATGATACCTACATAAAAATCTTGTAAACAATAAAAAAAAAACAATTTCGATAGAGTTAACAAAATTGAGGTGTCTGAGAATTGGAATCAATATTATACTCATGGTAGTTAATATCTTGAAAAGCAAAGAGTACTTACATAAGATCCAGCTGTAGTCTCTAGCGTCTCCTGTGACGTAGTTTCCACCACGTTCCTCACCAGCACAGTTGACATCACCAGCACCGTGCGATTCGGCTCTTCAGTCGTCGACTCCGTCACTTTAGAGTTCAGAAAATCAGGGATGATCTTCAGGATGCTGTTCCCTGATAGAAGAGACATCACCAGGCTGTTATCTGTCCATATGACGATCAGGTAAAATGCCGCTTGCCATCTCCTCATGGTGGAAACATACTTCACGCTTCACGAAATACCACGTCACTTTCACATTTTCACTTTGGTCTTTATTTGATTCCTAACTACACTGGAGTTTTTGCTCACAACATATTTTGTATTAAGATTTATGATGATCTTGGGCTATCTAGACTTAGGTTATAATTCTGTGTGCGGAAATACACTGAAAACTGATTGCAAAGATGTTTATCAAGATCACGCCATATTTTCTAATCTTTTCTATTATTATTAATGGCTTTTGCTTCTTTTGCTAATTTCGAGTGTTTAAAGAGACATGGTGGATAGTGGAATTTGAAGTTTGCCCGGTCTTCAGTTTGAAATTTTTGCGAAAATCTACTTAACACGAGAAAGTGTACCAGGAGTAATTTTACCGTGGGAACATTTAAAATGTGGGTAGGCTTATAAAACTTGGAACATCGTTATAGATGTATGTTCTAATGCGTTTAAAACTTTCTTCCTTCTTTTCTGAAAGCGATGTTTCTTCGGTTACGAAGTTTACACAGACCTTCGAACCAATTACTTAGTTTTGGCACGAAAATTAGGTAAGTGTTACAGCTTAAACTAAATCCATTACAGCGTGTAATGTACAAGTTTGCCTATTAAGCTAATTTGATATCATCTATCTTCGATCAACAAAGCCAACTAGATATCGGGTCAGCGCAAAAATTACGTCTTGGGAAAAAAGAGCGCACTGAGACGTAAGTTTTTTCGTTCGTTTCAGCCGAAAGACGTCCACTGCTGGACAAAGACCTCCCCCAAGGATTTCCACAAAGACCGCTCCTGCGCCGCTCGCATACAGGCACCTCCCGCGACCTTCACCAGATCGTCGGTCCACCTAGTGGGAGGCCTGCCCACGCTAAGTCCACCGGCCGTGTATGTATGTACGTGCCTAATTACGTTATTACTATGTGTAATGCCACACAAGTGGGCAGCTATTTGAATTTCAAATTCAAAGGATTTTTACCGAGTTCTGTATTAGGTACCTAACTGAATAAAACATATCATATCAACTCACGTCTGTCTGACATAGACGTATGTTTTATTTCTGTTCAAAAGGGTTTACAACGCTGATGTAATTCGGCGGTCGTAAAATTTACGTTTGAAAATATTTATTCTATACCATTTAAATCTTATGCATAACACGTGTCGTGTGAAGTGAAATGAAAATCGAAATGTATCACCCGGTGCAAGATAGAAAAGTGTGTATCAAAAAATACAATTTACATAATTTAACAAATAAAAAGCTATAATAATAACGGCACAATAACCACGTCAAATCAATCAACCCAAAATCTTTTGTTTCCCCATTCATAAACAACACTTTACTAATATTTCTGTTCATTATTTTGTCATCATTTGGTCAAGTTTTCCACTAGTTTAAGGCTATCCACATTTCACTGTAAAGTTCCGGTAGCGAGGAAAGTCGCCCAACGGTGGAACGCGGGCGGGCGGCTAGGGCGGGCCGCCTCAGCGAGAGCCAGCAGCGAACTGGCGGGGCCTGCCTGTTGATTTCGAGGGCGGTACCGCAGGGCGAAGTCACTCGATTATCGCGTTCGATTGAGGAAATTATGACGATATTTTCTGGGTCACAAAGCATTATTTGGAAATAATATAAATTTGATGTTATTATTTTCCAGTAACATCAAATATTTCAATGTTTGTTGAACGAATCAGATATTCAAATAGTATTAAATATAGTTATTAGTCTTCAGTCACAATTTTAGTACGATTTATTTAAATAAAACGCCTTATAATTAGTACAAGATATTCATTAAAATATGCTCGAATTTACGAGCAAGGATTGATGGAAACGACAGAGCGTAAATAGATAGTAGTCTCCATCAATATTAAGGAAATTGGCGGCCGGGAGAAGCGGATTCGATCGATAAGGAAGTTCCAAAAATAGACAAAGCGAAGGTGAATTAAAAGTGAGTGTAAGTGGTACCAGCTCCACGTGGAGTCTCCCGGACCACAGGAGCATGTCGCAGGATCATGTTAGCCACTGGCACCGATTACGTGACTTGATGGCGATAGGAGATTTGTAATTAGAACAAAGTGTCTTATGGCTTTAAGTTAGGCGCTATTTTAAAACAAAAATATATTTTGATGTACCTGTTGTACCTACTTATATACGTAGGACATCTCTGTACGAACAATGACATTTTCTCGCGGAAAATTCCAGATATTCTCCGATGTTTCTTTGTTTTTTAATATTAGACAAAACGACTGCCATAATGCCCTATCTGCGCGACTGAGTCCATAGAAAAGAACCACTATTATAAACAATACTCTTTTTTGGATTTTTAAAACTCTTTCACTATCACAAGCCTGCTACAAAAGCTTCATAAGCTTCAGGAAGCTTCATTATCCCTGATCAGTGTTAAGGATATTAAATAAAAGTAAGCGAGTTATTAAACAACATAATGAGAATAAATGAGGGAACAAATGATAGCAATTTCTCACGGCTCCCCGTACTTTATACATAATAGGCCCTGTCGACACCCTTCGACGTAGGTTATTGGTTCGAAAGGTTATTGCTTTTAAATATTTTCATTCAGGTCATAGTGGTATGATATTAACTTCTGTTTGCTTAGTATTTAAGTCTAAATTAGATTCTGGGTCTTGGAAATTAGTACATCAACATCAACAGCCCTTTACAGTCCACTGCTGGACTATGAGCCTCCTCCACTATAGTGGAGGGTTTTGCCATAATCTCCACGCTTGGCAGGCGGGTTGGAGATTTAAAAGATTGATGTTTTTCAGAGAGCGCTGCTGCCCATTCTCTGTTTGATGTGTAGTCCCTAAGTCGCCTCTTACGACACCCGCGGGAAGAGTAGGGGCATAGCTGGGCATTAACTCGTTAATCCGTTAATCGTTAATTAACGAAGTTAACATTTCTATTAACGGATTAACTTTTAAGTTAACTTTAAAAAATGTTAACGGACTCGTTAACTTCCGTTAAATTATCCGAAGTCCGTTAATCGTTAATCCAGTACCTACTATTTACCAAAAAGATACAGCAGGCACGCTGAAAAACGCTAGAAAAACGCGTTCTGACAAGTACGTTCGGGCTTCCAGAACTTCCAGAACCCAAAACAACAGTTTTTGTAACCAGATCACTAACGACACTTGTTAGTTAGTATGCGTGGGACAACTCTTGCAACCGAGTTTAAGACCAGTTTTCCTCAACCGATTGAGCTGAAATTTGGTATACTTATGTAAGTACCTACGATGACATTGCAATGTTATGGTATCATTGAGCTGGTCTGATGATGGAGTCATGAGGTGGCCATAGGAGCTCCTAAATGAAACGGCGGCATCACATCGAATTTGGGTTCGTTAGATTTGTCTTTTCGAGCACTTTAGTACTAGATGATGATGGAGTCAGGAGGTGGCCATAGGAATTCCAAAACGAAACGGTGGAAACTTATCGAGTTTGGGTTTGCTGGATTTGTCTTTTCAAGCACTTTGGTGCTAAATTGTATTGTAATTGAACCAAGGCTCTGAGATTGAGATACTACTAAAAGTGTAAAATAAAATACTAATAATAAACATTTTTAAAAACAAGCTTTTATTCTGAAATTCAGTTGTAGGTACTAAAACGAAAAAAATAATTGTGCTTATGCAAGGTTCAAATAATTTCGAAAGCTTGTAGTGCAAACATAAAAGAGGAATAAATTTCATGCGCGATACAAGCTGTAGAAATTATTTGAACCTTGCATACAATTATTTTTTCGTTTTATTATCATGTGTTAACGGATAACGATTAACGTTAACTTGCGTTAAATCTTGCGACATGTAACGTTTTCACGTTTAACGAAGTTAATTTTTTTATTAACGGTTTAACGATTAACGAAGTTAACTATTTGATTAACGGTGCCCAGCTATGAGTAGGGGTTGGTGACAAATGTATTCTACTCTGCCGTCACCACACGGCTAACGTAAATTAGTACACTCTGACCTAAAACTGAAAGTCAGAGAGATTCTAGTAGCTATGTTATGTAGTGAACCTTATTCTGGGTGATTAAACTTAAAAAAAATGTTTTTTTTAAGGTTACTAGTAATTATGATACAAAAATCTGACACTTTCAGCTAAGCTAAATATTACTATGCTAATGTTTTTTATTGTGGCGAACTCGTTCCTAGATTTACTCTCACTTCATTCTTTGGTTGACGGGGATCAATATTTAATAATACGTCATTCTAGCAAGTATTACATTATGAGAATAAAACAGGCCATAAAAGGTTTTGGTTAAAAAAACTTAAATTTGCTTTTTAGAAAAGATTTTCAAATCAAATTAATTTAATTCCAAACGTTCATTGCCTTCAGCTTTAATCTTTCTTCGGAACACCTAGTCTTAAATCCATTAGCTTGACAGTTACATACAACAGACAAACAATTAAAAATAATTAACGGAAATTGCTCATTACGCACAGAAGTGGCAGGGTGGAACAGGATAACCGGATTCTTACATCCGGGATTCTACGATTTTGGTGTCATGGCAACAGTAATAATATGTTATGACAACGTAACTAGACTAGCATCTCTATTGAGCGCGTTAAAAATATATGAAAATTTTAGTTTTTGTAAGTTTGCGCTAGGGCCGCTCTACAATCCGTCATACATTTGATGTCATTTTTTACTCACATCAAGCCATCAGGAGAGATTGCGGTCAAATACCTGCCTTGTTATGCAATAAAAAAATCGGAATAAACTATACTGACTAATTACTCTAAAGAACGGTTTCAACCAAGTTGAAGCGGAGTGGCGAAGTTTTTTGAATAACCAATGATTTCCTGGTTTCCTGAATAATGTAAGTAATCTTAAAAATATCCGCTCCGCTCCGCCTTGGTGGAAAAAGAGCTTTATTAAAAAAGATAGAGCTAGATTTGTTAATCAGTAAGTACTTGGTCGAAAATTCTTAAAAAGTTTTGAAAGGTACGTAATCCCATTTGATTTTTGAGCCTGGATGAGACCAACATTGTTAGCTAGATGTTTTAGCAGTGCTTTTTTTTAAGTGATGGGGCACTTATACATGTAATTATGGTTATGTATTTTAAATATTAATAGTGTACTCATTGTTGAAAAGCCAAAATAAATGAATAAATAAATAATAAGTAATTAGATCTTATTTTATGGGGCTGATCATCGATTAATGAAAAGTGTATTTACTTAGGTACTTTTGTATTTCTCCTCTTAATTTCATAAAACTTTGAAACCAATTGGACTATCAGGATAAATATTTGGCTGTCTATAAGATATTCATAAAGAGATAAACTTCAACTAAACAAAACTTTGTGAGAGAATCAATTATTCACCCTTTGTCCCTAAAAAGTTTCAGTTGAGTCCAGTAAAGTATCGATAAAGGTATATTCACATTTGTATGGGGCGTATGCGGGTCGTAGAGCCTAGAAAGCACCAGCTTCGATCTCTTTTTATAAAATGAGCCTACGACATTTATGTAATGTAAAAATGCTGATTACCGGTGACCTTATGTTTGTCAGATAGATTCAAATCCATTTTTAATACTCATTGACACGTCCCAGTATTAATTTTACCCTACTACTGCTTCGGGATAATAAATGGACCAGTGCTGAGAAGAAGCAGCGAAAGAAACTCAGGATAGATAGGTCTAGGATAGGACTATCTATAAAAGAAATATCTGACAGATAAGTTCCTGATAAACTATCCGGGACTTTATCAATCTGAAACTGACCTTAAAACTGTGAGGATTATGTTTTCTTTTTACAAAACCCATCGCATGTTATGGTAATAATCTCGAGGTGCGATCAGTCTACGGATTTGGTTCGCAAATCCGTTTGGGCTACACTTAGGGTTGCCAGGTGTCCGGCTTTAGCCGGACAGGTTTGGCTTTTTACGGTCTTGTCCGGCCTGTCCGGCTTTTTATTTGGCTGCCGCGCCAGGCGAAAGTCGAGCCACAGAATAATATGTAGCGCACGCATCAGGATGTTGGGCACCCGATGATGATAGTACTCACTCGTGAGCTACGACACTAACTGCACCCCCCCCGTCCCGTCCCGACAAATGTCCGGCTTTTAGGGTAAAATGTCCGGCCAAATGAAGCACAGAGTCCGGATTTTGTGTTTTTGGACCTGGCAACCCTAGCTACACTTGAACACTTCCTAGTTCACTCTCTTTGGAAGGGTTCGGTGATGTAGAGTTGTAGACAATTGTTTAAGCCGAGTTAATTTGTTAACGCATCTCAAGCGTTGTAATTAACATTTATTGCGAACTTACTTACTGTAGACCTAGTAGGTAAGTAAATGCTTGTTTCCACGGAGATGTCCCGTTTTTTGGAAGATCCCGTTTAGTAGTAAGTATACATTCACACGAAAATCCCGGTTGCAGTGTCCCGCAAAAAAGCTCACCGTTCGAATGTGTAATACCAGACGTGGGAGCTGTTTTGTCTTTCTAATAAAATAAAAATAACATAAAATGAATGACT